ATCAATGACCTGTTCCTGCTCTGAGATTTTGGGTTGTCTCTCCTGTTAAAAATGAGCAGCCGAGCATTACACTTGACGTCTTGCCTTCACAGAAAGTTATTCTTAATCTGCTTTCTTGGGTAAACTTTCAGTTTCCTGGGTAAACTTTTTGGTTTCCCCAAAGTCTCCTGGAAGACCCTCGCAGCCTCATGGCTCTTCTTCAGAAAGCAGAAGTGGCTGCCCCGCTCCTCAGCCTCTACCACCCACTGCTGGTTGTGTCCCCCAAATAAACAATGACAGAAATCCCCTTGTCCCTGGGAAGAGGCTTCTTAGAACTTCTGAGGTCTTTGGAAAAATGGGTGGGATGTGGAGGATAAATTATGGTGTGGCGAGAACCAAAAGCCACAGACACCATCCAGGGTAGCACAAAGCAGGATAAAGAGCCCTCAACACAGCCACTATGCTCACTGCAAGGACAGTCCTTCTGCTCATCCTGCTCCTCACCTTCTCCCTGCACCATGCCACAGGTAAGGCACCTCCTGGGCCCCTACTGTAGGTCAGGGTTTGGGGTCTCTACTGGGGACATATTGTTGGGGAGGTCAGGCAGCAAACCCTGGCAGGGAGAAGGGATGGTGCTGCTGGCAGGAGGAGCACTGCTCTGGTCAGGGCAGGGTGGCACATCCTGGGGTACAGGGAAGGAAGAAGAGGGTTCTGGGCAACCTCAGGAAATACAACCCTGGGGAGGTGCTGCAGGAGCCTGGAGGAGACTCTGGCAGCCATTCTCCAGGTCTCAGCTAGATGAGGAAGTGGTTGGAAGGGGTGTGTGTGGGGGGAAATGTGCAGCTATTTGGAGGCTCCCAAAACATCTTTCAAATTGTGCCCTCTGCCTTGGAAAGCCCCAGATCCTCATCCCCAGACTGAGCACCCCGAGATCACTGTGCACGTTGGCAGCTGCAACCATGTGGGCTGGGGGGTGCCAGGTCCCACACTGTTCTGCTCCCCACTTGCTGGCTCTCTGCTTCTCCCAGTCCTGTGCTTGCTGCCATGAAGGGAATCAAATCTGTGCTGTGGATGCTGTGAGAGCTGCTGAGTATCTCCAGGGCCTCCAACCTGTGTTTGATATCCCGTGGTGTCATCTTCTGGTGATGCAATTAACTACAAAATGCTGCTGAGGGTGTTGACAACATCTCTCCCTCCCCTTTGCAGCCTACTTCATGCCTGTCGAGTGCTGCTTCAAGTATGCGCAGAAACATGTCCGACGGGCGCAAAGTGTCTACGAGACACCCAGAGACTGCTCCTTGCCAGCAGTTGTGTGAGTACTCCTGGGGTTTGCCCTCCACCTCAGGCATGGCATCAAGTTCAGGAGCTTGCTGCCCCCACCCTGTCCTGTCCCATGGACAGCCCAGTCCCAGCTGGGAGTGGGGGCTGTGGTAGGAAAGTAGCTTTGTGGGGTGGGAAGAAGAGAAAAAGAAAAAAAAAAAAGATGTTTTGGTGCTTTCTGCTAATGCTGGTAGGCTAGGAAAACTGAAACATGCACTGACAGCCTGAAGAAGGTGCAGGGCGCTGAAGGTGGCTCCAAGCCTCCGTCCAGGATGGGGCTGCGTACACAAAGGGTAGTAGCGCGTGGGATGGGAATGACTCATGGTTCATGTTCTTGTTCCCTTGTTCTCATTTCCTCACTGTAGGATTGTGGCTGCCACTGGGGCCAAGGTCTGCGCCGACCCCAAGAATCTCTGGGTGAAGAAAATTATGAAAAAGCTTCAAAGGAAAAAATGAAATTCCTTTTCTGCTGTCCACCATCCGACTGACCCTTCCAGGTCTGTCCCTGCAGGGAGCAGATGATGCTCACGGCACTGCTCCAAAAGGTCCCACAGTGGTGGGTGCCATTGCTACAGATGGAGCCAGCCTGTGCCCCGTCGGGACCGGCACTGTGACCGGGTGTCACGGGCTAGTGTGGACCAGCTGGCCACCAAGTCCCTCTTGCTGTCACTGCCCTGCCAGGTGGAACAAATATTTATAATAAAGACTCATTGCCACAAGTTGCTGTTTGGATTTTTTCCTGATTCTTCAGCCCAAGGAGCAGATCCTACAAGCCCAGAGCGTGGTGTGACCAAAAAACCCCTTTCCTATGGGCATGCATTTCTCCAGGCTTGGAGCAAACTATGCCTGGTCACAGAATGCTTCATTGGGAGTATGATAGTGGGGCCAGGCCTTGACCCTAAAAGACCTGTAGATGAGACCACCCTTATAGGTCAAAGACCTATAGATGAGGTCCCCCTTACCCCTAGGTAAGCCTGAATGCCCTTGCAGCATGCTCTCAGCCCCATGAGCTTTGCAGGTGCTCCAAAATTAGGTGGTTGGGAGTGGAGAGTTCAGGGAGAAGATACTGAGCTGCCAAACCCTTAAAATACCTTGTCAGCTTTCAGATAATGCTGGTGGCCACTGCAGAATAAGTGAGATGAATAGCAATGTCCGCAGTGCCAGGAGGGTGAGGACACAACCCCTTCAGCTTGGCAGGAGAAAATCTGTCCTGGCTGCCAAACCTCTGCAGAGCTGGTGTCCTGGCTGGGCTGGGTGAGGGTTGGTTTTCCCTGCAGTTGGAGGGAGCTCCAGCTGGGCAGACAGCCGGGCCAGCTGGGATGTTATTGGCTGGCAGGCTGACATCGTGCCACAGCAGCAGGGCTGGGCAAGCCAGGGGCAGGGGCAGGTTACGGGCCAGGGGTTTCCCTGCTTGGGGGGTGCAGCGCAGGTGCCATCTGGAGCCCTTGAGGGGATCTGTTTCCTTCGTACTCTTTGTTATATTTTGTTATACCTGTTGTTACTGCTGTTGTTTACTGTTACTTCTGCACTGTTGTATTGAATTCTCCTTATCTCAGCCCATGGAGTTTGTATTTTTCTG